GTCGGTGCCTGACCTGCGGGGCCGACCTCTGCCTCTTCTGCTGCCAGGCACACAGGTGAGGGGGCGGCGAGGAGCGGGACGGACTGGGCAACCTCGCCAACGGGCCGGGAGCCACGCAGGGCTAAGCCAAAACAGCAAATGCATCGGTTTGTCAGGTCCCTGGCGGGTTTCTGTCCTCCCCGGAGGATGCTCTGTGCTCAGGTGGGCGGGTCGGCCCTGTTCAAGTCCAAAATCAGGCCGCCTTTTGCCCGCGGTGGTGCCCACTCGCTGGTTTGCATCTTGGGGGGGTCTGAGAGCGCTCCAAGCAGGCGTGGCTGGGGGCAGCTGGACTGCCAGGACAAGAACCTCGCCTGTTGTGCCGTCCTGCTTTGGGGAAGATGCGTCTGCCAAGAGAAAATGGGAGGTTAAGCGGCTGGTCTGCCTCCCACCACCTCCAGAAATGTTTACTGTGTGTATGCGCAAAGGCATCCTTAGGTGAAGTGAAAGGAGGTAGGTGGAAGTGCTGACACTTGGCCTGTCGGCTGTGGTTGCTACCTCCTGATGATCGAGCACTGTGCTTGCCTCTTAACTGTAGTGACCGTGTATCTTGCATGCATTTCCAGCATTTCTGTGAGCCTACAGCAGTAACTCTATTGCTTTGCAGTGTGCCTGATGTTGCAGGGTTTAGTTCTGTTGGGATGCTGGAAAACTGAAGAAGTGTCAGCAGAAGAGAGCTGTGTTCCTCGGGGAGGGTCATGTCAGTAAGGCAGGAAGAAGAGGTGACTGCAACAGAGGTAGGAGCTGAAAGGAGGCGGCTGTAGTGGCCAGAGAGCAGAGCAGAGGACAGGCAGCACTGTGAAAGAAAAGTGATAGGAAGTTTGAATAGCCTTCTGAAGCAAGGAGGTGACACACGGAGTCAGAAAAATACCCAGTAACGCGAGCCAGGGAAGCCTCTTAGCCTGGGTTAATCAGCTCAGCCTATTCCCTCCACGTTTGTTGCTCCTTTCCACTTGATTAGCAAATTCTTTCCCCAGAAAGAACTGAGGCATATTCCTCGCTGCCCAGCCCCCCTGCAGATACTGGTGCCTGTGGCAAAATGGCTTAGACTCCTAGTTACCTTTCCACTGAGGGCTGTAATTTTCAGCATACCATTCTGATTAGCTAATGCCTCATACCGCATGCAATCTGCTGCAGAGTGATAAACTGAGACCTTGAATAGCAGCCTGCTGCACTGATGGAAATAACTGCAGTAGGTATAAAGCAGTAGAAAATTTGTCCTGATGATCCACTTCCTACATTCTTTACTGATGCCATTTTTTCACCCCACTAGCGTCTGCAAACTTGCACCTGATATAGTTGGTGGCAGAGCAGAACAAGGGCCAAGGAAAACCATTTTGAAATTATTTTCTGGTGTGTAGGG